TATATATATATATATTCTACATTTAATCTAAGTTATTGGTTAAGAAAATAAATTAAATAAGTAGAAAACTAAAATAAATGTTCTCGCATTGCAGAACCGAAGTACAAAACTAAAGAAAGTTACATATATCTGTTTTTTAAACAATTGTTATTAACAAATGGTGGAGTTAGTGTATTGCAACACTTAAACAGTCTACAAATATCCATTATATGAATACAGAATTGTCTTGATGTCTATTGCTTACACAATCTTGCTATTTAAATGTGGGGTAAGTGATTTTTCAAAAACGCTTTAGAAAACTGATTTGGGCCGACTAGCAAAACAAACTTGTAACCAATCAGCAGTCAAGGGCATGTCTACTCATGATGTGGAGGAGAGAGCATTCAGTCCGAGCCAAGCGACAGAAAGATAGAGATGGCGGATAAAAAACAAAAGAGGAAAACGTAGGCGGAACAAAAGAACGCTTATGATAAGGCAAGAAGTAGGACCCGTGGAAATATTGGATCAGCTTTCCAGTGCTGGAGAGAACTCAAGGAGCGGAAGGCCTGCGATCGGACGGCGAGGTTGCTTTGTTTCTTCTTAATAGGTGAGTAACACCGTGTCTGCGCCGCAACAGCTAAAGTCTGTCTTGTACACTGGACGCGACAAAGCGACCATTGAAAATCATTTGAAATTTGTGTCAATACGTCATGAATAGAACGCAGCAGCAGTTTTCTGTCGGGGATTTGTCATGTCGTACCATGCCGCATCCAGTGTAGACCATAGATATGTAAGCCTATATATGGTGTAGACAGCATCACTGATTATAATGAGTTCCATAGTATTTTGTCGCGCCGCATCACTTGTGTCCGGTGTAGACACGGTGTAACATTGGTTTTGCTTTGTTTCACAGAACTAATCGTTGCCTGGGTTACGTACGTATGTGTGGGGCGGAGCTATCAAAATAGGGGCGAGAACCTTTTGGGGTAGGGGCGTGTTTGTTTTGGTGATTTCAAATGTCAACATTGGCTACCAGAAATCTTTAACTTTTCATCCATAATGATATTTCTACTTCCAAGCTGAGCAGAAGATGTACTCTTCCTGAAATGAGTACTACTTTTATGTCACTGTTCCTGTTAAACGCAATCATGTTAATGTATTGTGACAGTTCATAGCT